AGCGATGTAGAATTTCTTACAATTATAATAAAGAATTCAGTAATCTTTGATATCGTGATGAGTTTTAATTGAAACGATCTCTTTCTCTCTCTTATAAATAGCTCGATTTTATAATACTGAAATTAAAACTTTTTACCCTAGTGTTATATAATATATTTAGAGAGTACTAAAATACGATATATTTATAGACATACATATTACTGATACATAAAATATTGTTACACACATTCAAGTGCATTAAATATAAACGCTTGATTTTTTATTATATATCTCGCAAGCGCACATATTAATGAAAAAAGTGTCAATCTTGACACAAGAAATGTGCAAGAAATTGCTTGCACATTGTTCATTCTATCACTTATTCAAATGTAACATCGAGGTAGCTAAGTTTTGTTTGTGTTGTAAAATATGTTAAATGAAAAGTGCGTCTTTATAGCTTCTAGTTGAAAGATAGTATTTCGAGTTTTCCTTACGGATAATTTCCTCACTCTCGCGAATTGTTTTTAACCGGTTGAAAAGAATTTCATGTTTAATTTTAAAATAGCTATTATATAATTGTTTTCTTTCAAGGTTGTGACTGCGTAATAAGCCTGCATGTGTGCGCGTTATCCATTCAACTTTTTCAATTATATACATACGCTTATATGTATACGACTCGAGAAAAAGGGAAAAGAGGGAAAGCCGGAAGTATAGCGAGAGGCAGAGAGAAAGAGAACAAGGGTAGAGAGTGTGAAACATATACGATCCAATGAAACCCTAGGTAGCTGGCGAACGCGGCAGTTAAAACCACCCTCTACGAATCCCGTCGTGTTACTAAGTGATTACATGACAGTCATACACATATATAGGTCAGAAAATGAAATTATAAAGCCAGCAGTGTTCAAGGACGCGCAAAGCGGGTGTGTTATACGTTTTGCATTGCCGTTTATTCAAGGGTGATCGTACCTATGAATGTGAAAATATATTTACGTTATTAAAGGAGCAAAACGTTTCTTCATTTTTCTCTGTGCACATTATTGTATAGTAGCGTTTGATATGACATATCCCGATAGCTTCCAATATGAGAAGAAATATCAATATGGAACAACAATAATAACAAATTTACTCTAAGCTCGAAGAAATATTGGCTTTGTGGATCAGGTATTTGATGTTTGAATTCGAGTATACAAACAAGTTTACAAGGCGCTGTATCCCTCTATATGTTTCTTCGAGCTTCTTTCAATTCTATTTTATCGATAAATATTTGAATGAGAGAGAGAGAGAGAGAGAGAGAGAGAGAGAATGCATATATATGTGTGTCACAAATATTCGAATAGTTTTGTTTATTTGTCTAAAGTAATACATTTCAATTTGGATATAGATATTTTTTATCTTCCGTAAAAAAGGAGACCCAAGAAGATACAGGGAGATAAGGATAAATTATCTACGCAAATGATGGATTAGAGATCCGAAGCGCTATTTTTCACACGAGAAGATACACGATAAAGGCTTGGAGCAAAGAGAGCGCAAACTAGTTTCCTTATAGAATAACTTAGTTATATAGAATAGCCTTTTCTTTTCGAGCAAAAAGCTCTCTCCGCTCTTCAGAAGCATTGTAAGGCATCGTTGAGTGGGCGTACTTGCCGTTGCAAAAAATGTCATCGCGCCACTTCAACATCACGACAGTAGGTCAAGTTTTTAGAAAATCCGGATGTAACAGCAGTTACGGCCGATGAAGTTGCCTCGTTCGCGTAACCATTTCCGCAGAAAAACGGGGCTACTCACCTCGGCCGATCCTACCGCAAAACTTCAAAGAACTTTTCTCCTAATAGATGTACTGTACACCGGAAACCGGAGGCGCTGATAAACTTCACAAATTTAAAACTTTATAATCCGGGATAGATGCTACTTTAACTTGGTTACTTTGTATCTTCGCGCAAGTTAACGCCAGGATTTTAGGATTAATTCCTCAAATTTTTTCACATCTGAAGGTTGTGGAGCTACATATGCATATACTATCGATTCAATGTCGAATAACATTAAAATGCGATATTAATTTTGATTACGTATATTATTAATATTTACTATTTAAAACACATTTTCTTTAAAACCTAATATTCTTTATAATATTTAAAAATTTTAACAACAAGAACAAAATAATAATTCTCTCTAATTATTGTAAATTTCAAAGAAATCTATTTGTGAAAAATATTTTTTTGGAAAAAAATGTCTCTCGGTAAATTTTACTTTCATCAATCATTTTCTTTGTTATTTATTCTTTTAAGGCTTGCCATTCATATTTCTTTGTATTCTTTCCTTTTTTATAAAAAGTTGATAGGTTTCTATTGCGATCGATGCAGCTTCATTCGTTATATATGATACATCATTATTTACTCTGTTCCCGAATGCATCAGGTTTTAATTGTGGATCTCAAGCGCGTAGTGGATTATGTAAAACAAAAGAATCTCGTCACAAAGACGGCTGACACAAATACAACATTATCCCGACACACAATTTTCAGAATAATTATACGAAACAATGAAGATATCGACCTATCAAAGGCGCTAAGTTTATTTTCATCCTTCCATACTTTTTCGATCAATAATTTGATAAAAAAAACTTATTTCTGAAAAAAAAAATGAACGAAGTCTAACGAGCAGAGTCATTATCGCGTTACAATGGAAAAATAATTGAAAGAAGCGAACACGAGAGCCAACGCTTTTAATTTTCACAAAGGAAAACTTCACTTTCGTGCATCGATTATAATAGTTTCAACTCATTAAAGGCAAAGAGGAATGATTTCCACTGAAATTTCATGAGAGAATACACTAACTCTCTATCATGCTGTCCTAATTTCTCGATAAATGTCCTCAACGAGACCTCAGTAATGCACTTGCAAGGAACAAAGATACTCGACTATCGTACACCCACCTAATCCAGGTTATTCTCTCTGTGACCCGCCAGTAAAAGCTACCGCGGAGCTTCGCATTGTCTACTCTAGAAGTACTAGCGCGATCGATAAATCCCAACGACGCTGGACTATAGACACTCTGCTGAATTCAGCAACTGTCCTGAATTTGCACGACCATCTACCTCCGCGTTTCGCGACGAAAGAAAGCTTTCGTGGCGGACCCTTTCGAGTAGGTATGGGTTCGTTTGAAGTTCGCTACGAAAAAAATCCGAGACTTTGCATCGGGGTGTCCAACCCTCGACTTCGTTCATCCTCTCTTATTCTCTTTCTCTCTCGCTCTCTTGATTGGCGTACGGTTTCATCACACGGAGACTGCTCGACGAAGTAGACGCTCGGCGATGGCACCCTTGCCCTTGACTACAGGGTGCGAGAATGCTCGTCTGAGGGGTTTGTCAGCTCTCTCTCTCTCTCTCTCTTCTTCTTCTCTCTCTTTCTACCGGCAGACAGGTCGAATACGCGCGTAAAAAAAAAAAGAAAATAGGGTGCGAAAGGGGTAGGAGAGAACAGACGAGACGCATGGCGTCCTGCCTCCGCCGCTTGCGCTGTCTTGCTCTCTTCAACGCTCTGTGCGTCCACCCGTACGTGCTTGCGTACGCACGCCGCACGTACATACACACCGCGTAGTTGCGTCGTCTCTTTACGTGCCGACGTAAAGCGAATAGAGTCGCGTCGAGTGCGAGGGTGCGGAGTACTTGGACTCGAGTACGTCGAGTAGTCATCTCTCGCTTGGGTTGATCGGATTGGTAGCTGGCTCGAAGCCCATTCATATCAGACTCGGTCATATCGTCACGTAGTAACGTCGTACAATAAGCACTTTGCAAGCCGCGGTCGTGTAGAAAATTAGTGCCATCATAATGACAATATATATATATATATATATATATATATATATATATATATTTAAGCAATTACATGATTCTAATCAATTGAACTATAATATATTAATAATAACAAATTATGTCTCTGCAAAAAGTATCATATATATATATATATATATACTTTTTGCAGAGACATAATTTGTTATTATTAATATATTATAGTTCAATTGATTAGAATCATGTAATTGTTTAAATAAATATTTGTCATGAAATAAAAATTTGACAAAATATTGCAGTATTTTAAACGGCACTAATGAATATTTTCTACATTAGATTTTGCACTTATCTCGTTAATTACTCTTCAATTTCAATAGCATGGTATCGGACGGTTTACGAGGGTTCACAGTTACGAGGCGATCGACCTCGAGTACACCCTCGATGTAATAGACATAGACTTGAAGCGACGTAATCAAACGATGCATTAAATGCAACGTTACGACTGAAGATCGATGTGAGAAATATATATGTATATATAGCGATACGATTATGAATGTTGCGACAATGTAAATAAGTACGATGTGAAGGACAATGTCTACGTTTTATCCGTTGTGTATCCGACGTATGATCAGAATATACAAGTCTATACCCATACAAATTCGAATGACGTAAATATCAAACTTGCGTCGTATAACATGCTTATTTTTGTAGTCGGTTTATAAAATCGTAGAGAATCATATTTGTACTCGTTCCTGTCATATTATCGCGCAAAATTTAAAGTAGAAAACCGAATAATGTTAAAACTTTTGTCAAATATTTGAAAGGGATCTCTATAAAGTTAAAAGATTCTATTTTAATCAATTCTTTTCTTTAAAATGAAGAGAAAATTCAATAATATATGTAACTTTCCACAAGTTTTTCCGCTTCTCTTGCAACTATTTATATTCATCGTCATCTGACGCGTCCAATTCGTAGATTCAAGAATAATATTATCTCGAGGATGTAATAGCTCGCGCGAGACACTTCATTGAATTCTCAACGCATTCCCAGTTGTTGTAAATGCGAAAGAGAACGGATTTCTCGCAATTGCAACGCGGGATTCCCCGCATTTCCGATTTAACGGTGTTGACATGCGGCATCTCGAGTCGTTATTTTGCGAACGGCCGCAGATATTGCACGCTCGCGTTGCATATCGTTTCAATTGCATGAAGCTTAGGGCAAGATATGAGACATACCTTTCAGATGCTCCGGAGTATCTGCTGCACCGGCTCGCATAATATCGCTCAGATAGTGTTCCAAGGTCCTCATGTTGTCTAACGGTGAGTTTCCATTAGCCGTCATACGATCCTGGAAAACATTAAAGGGAATCTTATATTCGTAATGGTTCCTTATAAATTCTTTAATAATTAATGTTAAATTTCGCGACAGAAAAAGTAGGTGAATCAATACTCGAAATTTATTTTAAACGGTTCGATGTACGTGATAATCGACGTCATAAATTAATATAACTGTTCTAAAATTTGCTTTTCAAAATGTAGTAAAGCAATATTTATCTACTTCACTTATTTACATCACAATTCAGACTTTTATCACAACGTCTCACGAGATCAAAATAAATCAACAATAGTCACTATAATGCAAGAAAAGATACTTCAAAGTCCATGAATTTTGGATTTTTCAATTTCCATTGCAAGCCATTTTATAAGATATTCGTTTATTTCTGGTACAAAAAAACTTTTTAAGGACGTGCGAATGTACCGCGAGATAGGAAGACGACAAGGCGAGAAGAGAAGTTTAAAAAACAATAAGAGAAATAACATTTCTAGCGTTATAAAGAAAGAAACAGAGAAAAATTCGCCAGAAGGAAGCATATCACTAAGTATAGTAGGAAAGAAGTACAGGGGTAAAAGACGCGAGAGAAAGGCCTGTAATAGACCACTTGTAACGAATCAGGGAGTGCAGTTAAAGAGAGCGGGGGACGTATTCAAAAGTTCCATCTATCCCCACCCCTTTATTCTCTCCCCCGTCGTCGTCGCCACACCCTTAATGCACATCCGTTTCCCTTCTTTTATTTCGGCTACCGCGCGGCCGAAATGCCGTGTTCCCGACGAAAGTTTGATAAAGCCTGACGACCTCTTTTATTTCGGACGTCACGCCACGGAATTGCCGACTTCCTCGCGCGGAAAGTTCGATAAAAAAGTCGACCTCCGAAGATTAATAATCTTCCCGCGATCAGATTAGACCGTCATTCATAGATCTCGATCGATATATGCGTAATTTAAAGAAGATTCCAATGAACTGCAATTTATCAAGCCTCGGTCATTTAACGAATTGATATCTCGTTTATTGATACAGTCCAGCTGATGATTTTTTTCACGTATTTTTCTAAATGTTTAAAGTAACTAAAACTTGGTGAAAATTATGTTTCTTGAATTTTTATAATTCCAAATACTGAAAAAAGTAATTCTTATATTAAGCAATAATCATGATGATATTAAGATAAAAATTAAATATTAATATCGATTTACTCAATTTAGATTGCTGAATGAAAGAGTTTCTCTACGTTGCTTGATACGAAAAATCATCCTGTATTTTAAAAAGATTTCTTCGTTCTGATTTCTTTCTACGCGCGTCTCGCAAAGGAAATAGACGAGGAGTTATGGGAGAAAGAAATGGGTGAGAAGGATAACGGAGGAGAGTCGAATCTTTGAAGGTGACCAATTGAGAAGAACGGCCGGTGTAACGAAAAATAACGGGCACGATGCAGGAGAAAAATGTTTACTCGCACAAACGGAATGCTTCCTCTCGTAACATGTTGGGGCGGATAGATGTTGAAATTACTAACTTTTTATTTTTATATGTATCTGGTTTTAAAAGCTCTCGTTGTATTTACAAATAATTGTGAGATATATGATTCAAAAATAACGCAAACTTTCAACGACGCAAAGAGCTTGATAAAAACAAATAGAAGGAAAAATCAACTGTCGAGAAACATTTTTGTTCTTAAGCTATTATTCTCGTCCAAAACAATTTCTGTATATATAAATGTCCAATATAACTCACGCTGCATTAGTTCTACTGCTGTTTAATAAGCCGTGTATCTCGCGCGTATATTATACATATATATATATATATGACTTGATACGCGATGTTTATATAAATCTCTCGCAACGTGATAATTCGCACACGTCCTCCCCATCCTGGACCAATATTGAAATTTACGTCGACGCAAGCGAGCGCGGCCTTCGAAGCCGTCGTCCTGGAATAAAACGGCCGTGACACTTATTTGGTCAACGTGGTAGAGCACGGAGAAAAGGAGAAGAGACGGATACCCGGGTGTATGTCGCACGAATAGAGCAGAGGGAAAGAGAGAGAAAGGGGTGAGCCCCTGATGTCGAATAATCGTGCCCATCTTTCCACGCTGGTGGAAGTGCAAAAGGTGGCCCCACCTTCTCCACGAACGCGTCGCCTCTGTGTAATCCCCCTGGTTCTGGTATTCCTTCCTTCCTCGTGTACGGGCCCTCTCCGGATCCCCACCCGGGGATTTCAACCCTCTTCCCTCTCTAGGGTTGCTTCGCGCGCGCGCGCGCGCGTCCACCCACAACACGCACATGCACACCCACACATACATAGAAACGCAGAGAGAGAGGGAAATGTTTCTCGGCTCCGTTCCGTCTCTGTCTGGCTCGTGGCGCGGAAAATCAATATAGGGAAACCAGGAAGCAGCGGCAGGGCGTCGACAGCAACCTCTGTGCAGGCTCCATCCCGGTACCACTACCCCTACTCGCCGTTCTCTCGTTGCGTATCCCTTCTCCTCTTTATCCCGTTAACCCTCTCTCTCTCCCTCTCATCAATTTGTTTCCCCGTGCCCTATTCGTTTTTGCTTGCCATCGCTCATAGTACTGTTCGCAACATCATTTTCATTCGCGATGATCATTAGGGGTTTCTTATGAAGTCGCGCGATTTTCTCTATTGGCCGATATTGAACATTCGTCTTCCGGGGACAATCGGGAACGTCTTGACCGTGACTACCACTACTATCGCGGCAACCACCCCTCTGGTAAGAGGCCACTGCGCAAATCTTCCCCCACCGTCGGGAGTAGGTATACAGGTCGAAAGAGGGAAGGGAAGGAGAGAGAGAGAGAGAAGGAAACTGCTGGGAAATTGGGTGATCCGGAAGAAGACGCGAAGAAAACACTGCAGTGTCGTATGTACACGTCAGGGAAATGCTGGATTCGGGCTGTACATCACGGAGATGTATTTTCGGTAGCACCACCAGCGATTCGTTATCCTATCTGCGCGCGCGAGAAGCCCATATATCTACATCTCTTTCGACCATGCAATTCATGCGAACGCATACATCCCATATATATACACGCGCGATGAAAATACAATAAATCCAATGGGATAAACATAATAACTTGTTCACTCGAAGACGCGACTACTCGTATCGATTCTTTCTCTTTGTATCAGTTACGAGGATTCCGCGTTCGACCCAGAGAACTCCGCATGCTTTCACGGTTGCGAGACCCGGTCGCGGTTGGCCCAGTTCCGAAGTTGGCGGCTCGTAAAAAGCGACGGTACTTCCCGCTCCGTATACACGTGTGTATACATATATACGTATACGCGTTCGCATGTGTGCGCTTGCACTATATCGGAGTTCTATGTTGACCCCGCGTTTGCGAATAATCCGTGGCCTGTCATGGACATCGTGGTCTAATCGAGGATTGAATTATGGCGAGCGGAGCAGAGGTGCTGAATGTAATCCAGGAGTGGTCCGGGAAACATGGGTGTAAACGCGTAAATTTTCTAGGGGGATGACATCTCGCGCGTCAGCCCGTTTTGCGCAGTCTCCACACATATAGGCGAGGCGTGTGACGTAATGTTCGCACGGTGCGACACGCATTCCGGTTGCGTTTGTCGAGGACGACGAGAAAGAATTTTCTCATTCATGTTTTTTTAACATATAGTATTATCCGATATTTTCGCGCGATATATGTGCGGACGGATTATCTTCGAAGTGACAAACAAGGCGAGGACGCATTTCACCTTCTACTTGCGTTCTATGTGTTTTGAGGTACATTCGCTTTGTATTTTGGAACATAATATTCCTGTATACGAGCAGTTTTATGTTACGGAAATATTTACATTAGCAAATAAAGTGGCGAGAGAGATATATATCACAATAATGATATCCACGCACGAAAAGTAGAGACTGATAAATGTTCATTAAGATAGCTAGGGCACAAATTACTAGGTCCTTGCTCTTAGATAAAAACATGCGATTAATTGCACGATAATAAGTCAAGTCATAAATAATTCAAGCAATTTACAAAGGGAAGAAAGTAATATTTGGAAGTAAACCGGCCCGACTCTTATAATGAGAAAGAAATAAAAGGGTCGGTAAAAAATTAGTAGGAAGCTGAAAAGGGGAAGAAAATGTAAAGGGGTTGCTAACGAGGGAAGGGAACAGACGTGTTCAGGTGTGCAGCAGGCCACCCCGAGTTCCGCATTTTCGTCGCGTATCCATGCAGTCCGGAATATTTGCACCCTCTGCATCTACCTTGTAGCATGTAGATAGATCTCTTTTCTCTTTCGGCGCTTATATTCCGCTTTCGCGAGACGTTCGCGCGAGCTATTTTGCGCGCACGTCCGCGTTTTACAGTTGTAAGGAGGAGATGGGGTGCGTCCTCATTGTGATCGTCGGGAATATCCATTAGAGGATCCGAACGCGCGACGAGTAATTATTATGTCGAGCACGACGTCGTCGTCGTCACGTTGCAACGGCTGGAAAATAATAACGCGAGAGAATATGCATTACACTACACAGTAGGGGGTGTAAAGCGAAGAATTTCTCGATGCGATATTTCGTCAGCGTCTTGCGACACATTACAATTGTATTTTATATTTCTTTATTATACATTGTTACGTCGCGTGTACATACATATTTTGCATATAACGTAGACTAATTGACTCGGCTGATTTTGCTGTAATTTTAAAAAGATCGCATAAAAGAAATCGACATTGCTCTATTATTTCTGCCAAACGTATATACGTAACGGTACAAGTACCGATATTTGCGTTATGTAAATTTTCTAATTATGCATTTTAAATTATTTCAAAAGATACGAGCACGTATGTTCTCCAAATAACAAATTCAGGTTTCAAATATAATTAACATTTAATTACCTAGGAAGAAAAATGAACCAAGTTTAGCTGAATCATCAAGTTCGCGATCAAAAAATTCGACTTTCTGCAGTTGCATCTTTTTTTCGCTTATGATCGTAACCGTGTCACCCGTTATCCGATCCGATTACGTTTCCCCTTTCGCACCTCGTCCCTCAGTT